CAATTTGACAATAAATTTCATATATTAAAAAAATAATAAAAATTAAAAATTAAAAGACAAATATAAAACTTTACCTCATGTAGATTATCTGGAAATTTTTCCAGTGGCCAAGGAAAAGTGGAAAATTGAGGTAATTTTCCAGATTACTCATGCTAAATGCCAGTCTTAACTAAAACATCCAATTACCTTTCTCAATCTCCCACTAAATTTTTCTAGGAACATAAAACATCCCACTGAGGTGTACAATGTTGGAGGATTCCAGCATCACTGCCACATAGTATTAAACATGAATTCACCTAATTCTAAAGGTTCCATGCTAAATATGCAATGCTAACTAAGATTAGCTCAACTTTTCTAATAAAATGCAACCCAGTTCAAGAGAGATAACAGGTAATTAACTAATTTATAATTAGCTAATTTAACAGGTAACTCAGTAAAAATGAAAATCATCAATTGTCATTATGTAGGTCATTGTCATTATGGTATTATATAAACACCATCTCAATTCAATGTTCAGCCTACAGCCTTTGGGGCATTGTCCATCTTATAAACACATCCAAATGATAGTACGAAAACACGATATATTTCTTTCTCACAAAGACATGAAATCTCCTTTCATGTTACTGTAATCATTTCTTTTTTTCAGTTGAAGTAGATTTTGTTTTTTAGAAAAGGGATATCTTAGTCTTTAGACGACTATAAAGAAATGTAAACGTGAAGTGAGAAGGTATTTATGAATGGTTTATACTCAATCAAGCGTTATTGGGTCCTCTGATGGATTCTCTACCATCTAACAGTTTAGTGTCTGTCCTTGTGAACAGCAACACAGTCCTCACATAGGTACGAATGCTCCTTTTCTGGCTAGAGCAGTTCTTTGCCCAGCTAGAAGACAGGCAAAAATGTGTTGGGGAAAAAACATCAGAAAACACATTTAAGTTTACAATTCTTGTTCTAAATACCACTTCCAAATCAGTTTAACGCGGACACCCATGGTAAAATAATGCTAGACACGTAAAAGGGCAATTTTTATTTTGATTTTCCATTCTTTAGGCACACATATAAATACATGCTCGCATCCTGGTTAGGACAGCCTGGGAGGCTATTTTCACACACCCTATCAGAGCACCATGTGAAATCAAGCCAGAGCACTTATAAAACAGTTAAGATTCTTGACATACTTGAGCAGGACCCATCTGGCATGAGCATATATCCGTTGAGACAGTAGCACTTGTAGCTGCCGTAAGTGTTCATGCACCTGTGCTTGCAGGGTCGCGGCTTCAGGCCACACTCATTTAGATCTGGAAAGAATGGGGGTTGATGCAACAAAATGAGAAAACCTCAACACTAATATAAACCATTTAAAATACCTCTCTATATTAAAGAATAAATGAGAAAAGAAGGTCAAGCTACTGTAACCAGTAATTTCCATAAGAGATAGAGCTTCTTTACGCCATCTTAATTTTAAGGTTAATTTTACACTAGGGGTGACCAAGAACTTTCCATCAGTAATGACCTTATAACAATGAGAGGGCTGTGTGAATTTCTGGAACTTTGATTACAGAGTACTTGTCCACAAAGGACAATTTGAAAAATTCTCCTCACAGACACGTGCCTACCTGATCATCCCTAGAAAGAGCAGACGACTATCTACCTCATGGGTAGAGGTGCCTACCACCTACCTGACTCCAATATCCTCCAAATATCTAGGTTTACTACCAGCTTCACTTCTATGTGATCTTGCTCTTTCAATCTCTTTCTGTTTTAAAAGATACTCTGTGAGCCTTTCTTAGTTTATAGGAAGTGTACAGATTTTAAAACATGAGACTGCTGGGGCGCCTGGGTGGTGCAGTTGGTTAAGCGTCTGACTTCAGCCAGGTCACGATCTCGCGGTCCGTGAGTTCGAGCCCCGCGTCGGGCTCTGGGCTGATGGCTCAGAGCCTGGACCCTGTTTCTGATTCTGTGTCTCCCTCTCTCTCTGCCCCTCCCCCGTTCATGCTCTGTCTCTCTCTGTCCCAAAAAAATAAACGTTAAAAAAAAAATAAATTAAAAAAAAAAAAAAAAACATGAGACTGCTTTGGCCTTTCCAAAGGAAAGCTCTATTTTCAGAGGATAAGAGCTCCATGAATTACAGTGATCACTAGTGTGGTTTCTCTTGTTCAGTTTTACAGATTCTCTACACTGATCTCAGATTAAAGAAGAAATTTCAGTTTCCTGCTTTACTGATGTATTCGGGTCACAAAATAAACAAAAAATCCTACCCTCCAACATGTTTTCATTGGGCAGTTAAGAAAGGTATATGGAAACACTACTGGATGATACATGGTGGACTACTATGTATTTTAGGTTTGTCCATTTAAATATCAACATAAAATTAATAAACTTCACATTGTAAGAATTTTCTAGCCCAAGGTGAATATTGCTTCAAGTGAACATAAAACTCATAGTGACAAAATGAAATACTAATGCCCAAAATACAGACTTCATTAAAAATAAATACGACCACATGTTTACTGTGTCTGGAACTATCAGCATAAGCACCTGATGAGATAAATTATCTATTAATTCATGTCATCAAATCAGAAATACAGGTATATCTAGTGACAAGGTGTTTTAACCTAATCGAATTTAAATCTGATCTGCTCGTTTACTGGTAATTTATAGATTTCATTTAATTAAACCGCCAAATTACACTGCTTTTAAAACCACCTAATACTTGTTACATCTACAAATGTTTTCATATCTTACTAACTTTCCAACATGGTCTTTTTTCTAACCTTAACACGACAGTGAGCAGGTCCCCAGCTGGGCAAAGCCTAGGAAGGTTAACTAAGGAAACCAGATACCTTCATCATCTCCCATGCTTTCTTCAGTTTTCTACTTTATTGTCTCATGCCCGGTCAAGGGCATTCAAAACAGAATCATATTTTAAAATATATATATTTTTAAATTTCCTCAAGGAAGGTGCTTTGCAGATTATAGTAGCAACCAAAAATTTGACCTCTCTGTTACATGAAGTAAAAATTTTAAATAAGGGAAGAAAGAGAAAGAAATTCACTCCACCTCTAATATTCTTCCAACTTGTATTTCAGTATTTACTAAAAGTTAGAGTCAGGGAATCTTTTCTCATGTTCTAAGAGAAGTTAATTATCATTCCCAATATATCCATACATCCCTGCAGTTTCGCACCTGGATTTGATAAGTTCCTGGTTGGTATTAAATAGTATTTAGGGGCACCTGGGTATCTCAGTGGGTTAAGTGTCTGATTCTTGGTTTTGGCTCAGGTCATGATCTCACGGTTTGAGAGACCCAGCCCTCCATCGGGCTCTGCGCTGACAGCATGGAAATCTGCTTGGGAGTCTCTCTCTCCCTTTCTCTCTCTCTGCCCCCTCTTCAAAATAAATAAATAAAAACATTTAAAATAAAAATTTAAATAGTATTTAAATCTGAGCACATTGTTAGAGAAAGGCTTTGTGTTTTAAATATTTTTTGCACTAAGCAAATATAAAACAGAACAGTAGAGGGGTGCCTGGGTGACTCAGTCAGTTAAGCATCGCACTTCAGCTCAGGTCATGATCTTGCAGTTCTTGAGTTCAAGCCCCGCTTTGGGCTCTGTGCAGACAGCTCAGAGCCTGGAGCCTGCTTCAGATTCTGTGTCTTCCTCTCTCTCTCTCTCTCTGCCCCCCCCCCCCACTTTCTTTCTCTCTCTCTCAAAAATAAACATTAAAAAAAAAATGAACAGTACAATAAAGCCATAGATTAAGACTGAGTTCTATATTTCAAGGGAAAGTTATTGATGGATATAAAATGTGTCAATTAAGAACACTTAGGTTTATTTTTAAAGAGCCACAGAAACTTCTGTGGGTTCCTGATGGAAATTGGCCAGATGTCTGCAGCTCTAAGCAGCTTATACAAGGGATATTTATGCTGATGGAAATTTCTTTAGACACTGTCCATGAACTAAAGCTGAAGCCAAGTTATGGCAGCTCCACTCTTGACCAACAAAGGACCCCTCAAGATTGCTATGAGAGTTTTCATGATCCAGACTGGGGCTGCCAGTGGTCTTCAGTCCACATTTATCCTTCCCTTCCCATGAGAAAAAGAGTACTCTTGGGTTAAGAATCATGAAGCCGAAAGGAAGTGAAAAACAAGATGTCATAATTCAAAAACAAACAAAAACAAATCCCCCACCTGGGAATCCGTATGAAATAATATGGAAGAGGAAATAAACATGCAGCATTCAATGGGTAAATGCAGAGACGTTTGTTGCTACTTCACTATTATTAAATTGACACATAAATATCTAATACGCTGAAAGCAATCTGAGAAAGCTGTACTCTAACAGCTGGTGATGGAGTGGCTGATACCCACTGACAGCTGGCTGGTGTCGATGTCTCCAGTGACTGCCATCATTGCTCCATCTGCTACAGGCATGTGCGTCCTAAAAACTTCACACTGACCCTTACAAAAACCACTGCAGAAATTATGAAATAGAATTCCACAATAATCCGTGTTATCAATATTTACCAAATATCAGACTTCTGCTAAAGCAGGGAGCTTCAAAAGATTAAAAGCATCTGGTGTCCTGGTGATGAACTTCTTTTTTTCTCAATTTTCTTCAGGGTTTCTAGTTTATGATTATTATAGCTTTATTTTCTTATTGACCAAATGTCTTACAAAATTGATTTAATATGTGCTGCTTCCAAAACCTCTTAGACTACTGACCTAGTAACACATGTCTTACTATCAGGTCAGAAATTCAAAAACACCACTTCCAATTTGCAGCAAATTCTCCTATAATAACAAGTAGAACAGGGCGCCTGGGTTGCTCAGTCAGTTGAGCGTCTGACTTTGGCTCAGGTCATCATCTCACAGCTCGTGAGTTTGAGCCCCACGTTGGGCTCTGGGCTGACAGCTCAGAGCCTGGAGCCTGCTTCAGATTCTGTGTCTACCTCTCTCTTTGACCCACCCCCCAACTTGTACTCAGTCTCTGTCTCTCAAAAATAAATGTTAAAAAAATTTAACAAGTAGAACAATATAAAGAACATGATCACACTTTCTCAAATCAGTTTTAAAGGTGATGAAAGAACCTAGGAAAGAAAACTTTAGTGTATTTAAATTCACTTTAATCTTGTTCTTTCTCTAGAAGTTTGTAATTATAAGGAAACTCTACAATAAAAAATTAATTCTGTCATGTACCTATTTTATCACATCAGAAGACATCACTTTACAATTAAACCACTTACATTTCAAATGCTTCAATTATCATATATACATTCTTAAAGCACATCTATTACAGTGAGGCGTATATTTAAGCAGGTTGATGGATTCAGGAGCTTGGGAAGGTAGGATGGGGGGGTGGAGGGGAGAGTGAGAAGAGACTCCAGAACAAAAATGCAAGCTGCACAGCATTATAATTACACTGTAGGAAAAAAAAGAATCAGAAATTTTGTTAGCATGCAGACACTGAAAAACAGCCTAAAAAATCTAGAATAGATTCACTGAATAAGATAACCCAATGGATTTTAAGGAAAATAATCTTCATTCAATACATTTAGACTTCTTTTTTCTTCTTTGACCCTTAAACTCGGCAACGTCTCAGAAATTTAACCTTTTACATTTTATCTAACGTGGAGGTCATAGGCAAATAGATGTCATTCAACTGCCATAACTTCCATTGTTTAAAACTCAGTGATTGAAATTACTTCTATTGCCCTAATTCTTTATGCAGAAGATAAAGTTGCTATCAGCAGAGAGAAACTAATTAATAATTTAAACTATTTTAATTCAGTCATTCTAAGTTTCTAAATTTAGGGGTGGGTAAAGGATACAGTCTTTTAGAAGAAAAACTGTAAAATCATGCTGCCACCGGACTTTCATACAAAACATCATAATGAAAACATTAGTATTTCTGGTATGCCTGTTCCCACACCAGCCCTACAGGTGAATAGGGCAAGAATTCTCTCCCCGTTACTAATTGGTTTGCTAAGACTCAGACACACGAAATGACTTGCTTATAATCAGAGAGCCACTTAAAGGCTATACTGAACCAGAACCTAGGCTTTCTAATATCACAAAATGTACATCAAAAGAATAAATTAATAACGTATGGTTTGATTTCTAGGTAACCTAAAACTATATTCTCCAGATATGGTGGCAGGGGAGAGGACTTCATCATTTCTGAAATCTACTTAGCAAAAGTCATCAAAATCCCAATCTCAGTTGCTTTGGAATTCCTGACTTCACCTATTAAAATTAAGGTTATTTTGCCATTTGACTTTTAGAAAACATTCGGAAGCCCAGAAAAGAAGAAGAGAAGCAATGATATTTCTAATGCAGTGAAAGGACAGTGGAGGCTCCAGGCTTTTTAGAGCACAGAGAATCAGCACCAGGTGACAATTCCTGTTGCTTGCTTCACATGCTCAGGATGCCGAAGGCTGGGTACTCCTGGGGCTAGTCTTCAGGATATTTGCAAAAAGTGACGAAACTGCAGGAAGCCGCGCAGGTGGGAGAGCAAACCACCTGAGATAATACACGCTCACCCCTTGAAGGTAAACTTGTGGCTTGATGATCCAGGGGTTGGAAAAGAGGCTGTTCACTGCCTTGGTCAAGAGGAGTTGGGTAGAAGTGTTCGTCTTCACACCAGGAAGAAGGTAATAAGAGTCAACTTTGAACTGATGTCATTTTTAGCCCTAAAAATCTTTATAAGTATATATTAAACAATTACATAAAGTTGGTGGATTTCAAAAAGGATACTGTACATGCTTTTTAAAAAATCAGTTTCTAGTTCTTCTGGTTTTTTTAATTTTAATTTCTATTTTCCTTAAAATTTATCACTGCCATCTTGCCTCCCAAGAACACAAGTACATTTTACACACATGCACACACACATACATCATTCCTACACCAATCTTTAGAGAAACCACTAAAAAAGAGATGGTCATTTTTTAAAGCCTGATTGTAGTCACTGACAAAGACAGAAAACTCGATTATACAAATACTGATTACAGTCTACCTGACACTGAAGTCTTAAAAGTCCAATCAAGACTTTTCCTTATTATGTTGTCCAATAGTTTAAAATACTCCACAATTATGCACAAATTTATGATTTGCATAGAGCTTTTTTAAATAAATAGCATGACAGTTCACCAATGTTATTCACATGTAAGAACTCGTGTTACATTTAGGTCACACTTAGTAGGAATATACAGTAAGCTTTCCACAAAAGAGGTTAACTCTTGCCATTATTAACTTACCAAAATAAGATGAGTAACTCGAAAGTAGAGTCAAAAAGGCAATCGCATCCTGTTTCAAGGCTTTCATACTATTAATAACCAGTTAATATTCCCAATTAAATGAACACTGGTTTCTGGGTTGAAACCACACATCTTTTAAAAAGTAAGGCTATCTGGAATTACCTTACTACCCAGGGGTATAGCATTTAGACTGTTGTCCTAAGGAAGGCAATCAACTTTCAGATTTACCTAAGCCACCGAAATGTACTGTCTGGTTCTGTGCTACAAGATACTAGATCTTGGGGTGAGGAATTCAACATATGAAACATAAACTTTGTCAAAACATTAGGAACTGATTTTATAAACTGTTTCTTCTGAAATTATTGTAAGCCCTTAATACAAGCCAGAATTGCATGGTACCATTTCCAGGGCCAGGATGGGGCTGCAGGGGGTGATCAGGAGAACTTACCTAACCGTGGTCCATTCAATCTTCTGGCTCCTGATTCCAAACCCTAAGCCTGACCCATACCTGACCATGTGCCCTCAACTCAACCCTTCCAGGAGATCGCTGCACTGTGGGTGGTTCTGCCCATGGCACTTCCTGGTTGCCAACCCTAACCCTAGCCATGGCTCTGGTTGTAAGGGGGCCCACCTCTTGCATTCAAGAACATAGATCTTTCATTTCTGAAAATATGCAATGATAGGACATATTACATGATAAAAATCATTCCCTAATTGGAAAGTTATAAAAAGATTATTACCTATAACAGTATCATTTTTTGGCTGAGGGGAAAGAGAATTGGTATGGGTACAGAGACTCAAAGAGCAGAAGAGTGTGCATGAGTAAAAATTACCAGAAAAATACAGTGGAGGAAAAGCAAACCAGAGTTAGGATTAGCATTTCATTACTGTGAAAGGTACCATGTGCCGTATAGAATGTGCTAATGATCAGGCCGAGCCTATGATTTTATATGTGATCTAGCTATCACAAATCCAGAAGTGACTCGGAGGGAAAAGCAAGCCACCCAGAGCAGATTCACACCAATCCTGCAACAAGGCTGTTAACTTAAGCCAGTTGCAAAGTGGGCTTGCCCTGCTATTCTGGCTGCCCCCAGGTAGCTCTGAAAGCACTTGCTAAATGCTTGTCGTTCATACAAGCTATTCACTCCACCAATCAAGTCTGCAGGAGGTTATTTCTTACATCACACAACTTGCAACAAATTTTTTAGCGAATACTTGCCTTACACAGAAACCTACTTTCAATGAAAAGCTAATTTCCAGTTCTATGAAATCATCTCAAATATACCTCTTCTTGACATTTCTCCTGAAGAAAAAAGAAACCTGTTGGGAGTTCCAATATCTCTGAGGCATATTTGCCAGTTTATTAAAATGTATGTGCCAGATAAAAACAGTCTACATTAATTTGCTATGTAACAGATATAGACAATTTACTCTAATATCATTTCCTTGTGTCTCTGGACAGTTCTCCCACTTAGCCAGCTCCTCCACAGCTGCCTCTCACCCTGACGAGGGCTCCCAGCCCACAGACTCAGAGACTGCCTACAGTGCTGGACCGGGCAACTGCACAACTGCATGGAGCCCTTACAAGTGTGGTGTTCAGGACCAAGAGCCATTATATGAAACAATCATTCATTTAGCAAATATTTAATGTGCACTTAGCGTGTGCAAGTCATTTTAATAATAGTTTTCAGGAATCTAGAAATCAGAGGCCAAAAAGGATTCTTGCTCTCAAACACCACAAACAATGCCATTGGGAACTTGTCACAATTGCTTTTTTGGTAAGGAAGGCAAAGAAAGAGATAATCAAAAATATATGTTTACTGTAAGCTGTGGTTTTATATTCAAGATTGGACTTGAAATTACATTTTCAGTGTCCGCACTATTTTTTGCGGGTGTAAAATCCCATTTTGCTACTAATGAAATCCTCTTCCCCCCTAAGGAATATAGTTTTAGAAAGCAAGATTTCAACTCAGTAAATTTCAACTTTTCTTTAGAGAAACAGGTATGTATTACAGTAAAAAGTACATGATAAACTGGTTTTTCTGAAAATAGGAGATACCCAGAGATAAATCCTTGTTACAATAATAGTTTCAGTGTCTTTGAAGCATATTAAAGTTGATGTAGTTCCTGAAAATAAATTTAAATGAATTTCTCTGCAATCTCAACAGTGGCTTCTTATAATAACCTCCTTTGTATAAATTCCTGGCATCAGGACAACAAAGTTTTATGGTACTGACATATTGATGAAACCTCTGATAGTTTATGTTCACCACTTTAAAAAAGGAAGCATGTGGGAACTCTAAGATGAACACATTGAGAACTCAATAATCAGAACTGAACACATTGAGAACTCAATAATCAGAACTGAACATGTCACTACTTGCAAACTTAGACTGTGGAAGGAAAATTAAATGGATTTTTAAAAGAGTAAACTGAGATCATAAAAACTCCACTTACTTCAAAAAGACTATCCAGGTATGTTTGGTAAATTCCAAGTTAAAAAATATTATAAGACATAAAAGAAGCATTGGAAAAAAAGTTAATCAAATAACAGATAATACAGAACATACTTTAGAATAACAGTTTCTCCTACCATTGGATATGTCACATTTCATTAGCATGGATTTCCTCTGACAGTTCAGGAATAATTACATATACTTTTAAACATAAGTTTTTCTGTACTGTTGTGGAAATTATGCCCATAAGTCACGAGTTTACATGAGGCATATCAAGGAGTATCAGATATTGATGAACAGGAGTGTTTCAAAAATATCATTTCCATATCTGATGAGGTCAAGTAAGTTATCTATGAGACAGGCCCCATGTAACTGTTTCATTCAACACTAAAAAGGATAGAACATATTACTTACATTTAAGAAATAAGTACAAATTGACTCTTATCCTTGTATCTCTCTGGTGAAATCTAACCCCAGCTTTTCTTACATGGCCAACAGTCCTAAATAGACATATACTGGATCTTTCACCAACTAATTCTGTGAACTTAGACACGATACTTAATATCCCTGATATCTCTTTAAGTGAAAAATAACAATAAGCTATTATTTATCATTTAGTTATCATAAATAACACTTTACCTCCTGACACTGTAATAATGAAAATAGATAATACATGTAAACTACCTGAGCACTGTGCTAAGTAAACACCTGCTTTTATAAACAACTTAAAACAAACATAAATTAGTCAAAATCTTTATTTCTCAGAGGAACTTTTGCAATCTGGTAATAGTTGAACGGAATTTAATCTCAAAAACGAAAGGGCTCAGAGTTTGAACGTACCTCAAACTCCTACCTAACTTTGAGTACTGAAGGTGTTTCATCTAACAGGGGTCCAAGGAGGCCAAAAATCAGCCAGAGCTTCCCAACTAGTTAGTGGAGAAACAAAGATGAGCAGAATGGAAGGCTTCTACATTACTGATGCTGTGCTTCTCTTCTTTAAATGTGTATTTTAATTAGCATCAATGAATAAGAGGATGAAATTCTTTTAATTGCCCTCTGATGCAATACATTTTAAGATTTCACATTATATTTTTATCTTTCAGAACATGGCAGCTCACACATTTAGAAACAGCAGTCGTGGAAAAGTGGTTTGGCATGAGAACCTCTAATTTTTATATTAGGCAGAAATAGAGGGGGTTTGTGATTGTAATTTATGTCTGTTTTCCTACCTTGACTGCAGGTTTTTCCAGCATATCCAGGATGGCACTTGCACTTGTTGGGTCCAATACATTCACCATGTTTGCACTGTGGTTGGCATACAGCTGTGAAGAGAGGATTTAATGCATTACTTCTAGGTCAGTTGAACATCAACCGTATAGCATCTATGTCATATAGTAGTCTGATAATAAAAAAGAAGACTAAGAACTTACAACAGAATAGCAGAAATATATAAATTCACTATGTCTGAGTGTGGTAAGCACTGTTAGACTAAATACTCTCACATACATGTAGGGGGTGTGTGTGTGTGTATCGCTTGGGTCTGGAAAACTGCCTAAACTTAAGTATAATGTTAAAGCAGTAAAAAAAAAAAAAAAAAGAGGTAAAACTATGAATAAGTACAACTGATACTTGTCAATAGTTGCAACTTTATAATAACCTGTACCTGTAATTTCAAACTCACTCCCCCCAAAATGCTTCAAAAGTAGTTTTTAGTCCAAAGATATTGGGTATGTATGAACTCCAGATAAATTTCTCATTAAATAATATCTATTTTATTGGAAATGCTATTTCTAATATGAAATGGCTTGAAATAAAGTAAAAACTAAAAATTCAGTATTTCTGGAACTTCAACTTAAGATCCACTTCATCTTGATCTTTCTTAACCCTAGGTGTGTTGCAATTGCCTACACCCTTGCTGTGGTCTATCACAGCAAACAGGGAGCTCTATTTTACAACTACTATCTTCTATCAACTGAGTTGGTCTTTCCTCAAGATTCCAAAATGCTGTAAAATGTCACTCAAAGCTTTTTTACAGTCTTCCATTTCTGCCAAGACCCTGGTCAGAATTTATTCTGTTTCCTCTATACCAGTGATTCTCACCTGAGGCTATCTTTGTCCCCTATGTAACATTTGGTATAAACAGAGACATTTTTGGTTGTCATACTGGGGAGAGGGTGCTACTGGCATCTATCAGGTAGAATACAGGGAGGCTCTAAGCACACTACAATGCTCAGATAGTCCCCTACAAAAACAAATCATCCAACCCAAAACGCAATGGTGCCAGACTAAGAAACATCGCTCTACGCCCAATCTGCGCACGGTGCTATGCGAGATGCTAAAATAGAAGAAAACTCGTTGTATAGCATTGTCACTAGTCTCAAAGAGCTAACAATGTAGATGAAAAGACAAAACAATCACTTTTCATTTAGGGCAACATTTGTTTATGAGAAAAATGGGTGGCATGTATGAAATTTGTGAAGAAATCCTCACACAATCATATCCACAGAGATTTGTACAGAAAGCCTCAGAAGAGACTTGAGTTGGTTCTTTTTTTTTTTTTTTTTCAACGTTTATTTATTTTTGGGACAGAGAGAGACAGAGCATGAACGGGCGAGGGGCAGAGAGAGAGGGAGACACAGAATCGGAAACAGGCTCCAGGCTCTGAGCCATCAGCCCAGGAGCCGACGCTGGGGCTCGAACTCACGGACTGCGAGGATCGTGACCTGGCTGAAGTCGGACGCTTAGATTGCTTTCATACAAACCCCCCCTTGAGTTGGTTCTTTTTTTTTTTAATTTTTTTTTTTCAACGTTTATTTATTTTTGGGACAGAGAGACAAACAGAGCATGAAACGGGAGGGGCAGAGGAGACGCCTGAGGTCGGGCTCCAGGCTCTGGCCATCAGCCCAGAGCCTGGCGGGGCTCTGAACCGTGAATCAGGACCGTAGATCGTGACCCGGCTGTGAAGTCAGACGCTAACCATCATACCCAGGCTTTATGAAGTTGGTTCTTAAAGCATGGGTAGACAGAGAAGGGGAAGACTCTCCAAGGTAAGGAGAGTTATATAGCAAAATAAATTATCATTTACTCAGGGGATACTTGAGGCAGTGAAGAGATAGCTTAATGTCAATGGAAAAATGAGATGTAGACCATCACAGGTGAGTGGTATCAGATGATGATGTTCCATAAATTTCAGACTGAGGAAAATACACTGTATCTACAGGAAATGGGAGGTTTCTGGAAGTTTATCATCATCATCATCAGGATAATTACCTGATGAAAATAAAAATTCTAAGGATATTAACCTGGTGATGTTATGTGGGATGGACTAGAAAGTCTAGTTGACATGTGAAAGGCATGATTTGTTTGTGACAGGAAAAGAGGGGTTTCAGTGAGCACTGAGTGAGGAGTGGACACCTCTTGGAGACCAAGGGGAATGTAGTCGACAATGACCCTGAGTTCTAAAGTCCCTGACACCTGTTATTTCCCATAGCAGCCAAGGTTGCGTCCATTCTGGGATATGCTCCTAGTTTCCTCCCTCACAATTCTCAAACATCACTTCCTTCAAAACTTGAACACTCCTGTAAAACCAATGTGCTAGTTATTTTTTGGTGTTTCCTCCAGTTCCTCACTTAGCCCTTGCTGACCTCTCCCTCATCTGGCACTCTACAGTGCTGATTTGCCAGTTTTACTTCAAACCTTTCCTGCTTGTCTGTCACCCCACCTGGTATCACTACTAATCCTAAGTGCTGCTCAGCAAGTATTAAAAAGCTTGCAGAAAGAAGGGATGAGCAGAGTATAAAGTGTAAATGGTAGAGAGTTGCACTTGGAAAATTCTTAAAACCTGATTTTAAACATGGCATGAAATTCAAGAGGAAGCAATTTTGTTCAGGTCTTTGAGAAGAAATGAACCATCTAGGAGGGTCTTCGATATGATTCTTCAGTCAACTGGACACGAGTGAATGGTTTATATGCAGTTTTTAAAACAAGTCCCAGAAATAAACTATTCTTCATGTTATTTCCAGGTCCCATAACCAAGAAATGCACGTTAAAAATTTTTTCATATTAAAAGATTTTCCATAAATCTTAATGTTTATATATGAATACAACCTGAACGAATCAATTATCACTGAGGCACCGAGAGTGTCATAATTTAAAAAATAAAGTAAACGTCTCAAAATCAGTAAGTGTAAGTCGAAGTAATAATCCCCCCAAATAGCCGGAATTTGAAAATATCTCTAAAAAACATGAAAAAGTAGTTTGGGAAGTACCACTTAAAAACATGAAAAATGTATTTAGAAGAGGACACATTATCAAACAAACTTTAGGTGCCTAGGCTTATTGCCTTTGACCCCCTGAACAGCTTGATGACCATCCATTTATGGTACTTTCAGGTGCTGTACAGGAACAAAAGCTTTGATTGTCCCCCTCCCTTTCTCATTGTTCTCAGTGGAGTGCCCTAATCTTAGGCACATCACAAGCACACATTCCAAAAGGCCAAGACTATTAATGTTTCTTACATGTTTACAATGTCAGTAATTTTCAAACAAACTGCTGTTTGTACTTCCATCCAACAGACTATTCACTAAAGTAACTAATGACCTAAGTATTAGCCAACAGCTACCAACAGAATAGGATATTCATAATGCTGATGTAACCAATCATTTTCTCTCATAAAAGGAAAACACTCTGAAAAATATTGCACAAAAGGACCTTCTCCCATTCGCTTGCATCAGGTCTGTGGTGGAATTCGATAAACATGCATTGGACATTTGTTATATACATGTATTATACTAGGTGTCAGGGCGGATGAGAGAGTCACCGAGGATATGAAAAATTAACTGTGGAACTGGAATATACTGGCCAAAACTTACCAAGGATTCAGAGGAGGAGATGCAAGAAGAAAGGGGGGAGGGGCAGGACAGTCATAATCTATTATAGTCACAGCTATGATTGCAGATCCTGGAAAGGCCCCCTGTAGGAAATTGTGATCTGAAGAAATCCTTAGAGGTTAAGAGGCTGAGAGTTGGGATGGAAGACAAAAGCCTTTCATGTTTCTTGAGATAGACCTGGACTGCAATGTATTTTCCTCTCAGGACTGCCTTCGCTGCATCCCAAAGCATTTGGATTGTTGTATTTTCATTTTCATTTGTTTCCATATATTTTTTAATTTCTTCTCTAATAGCCTGGTTGACCCATTCATTCTTTAGTAGGGTGTTCTTTAACCTCCATGCTTTTGGAGGTTTTCCAGACTTTTTCCTGTGGTTGATTTCAAGCTTCATAGCATTGTGGTCCGAAAGTATGCATGGTATGATCTCAATTCTTGTATACTTATGAAGGGCTGTTTTGTGACCCAGTATGTGATCTATCTTGGAGAATGTTCCATGTGCACTCGAGAAGAAAGTATATTCTGTTGCTTTGGGATGCAGAGTTCTAAATATATCTGTCAAGTCCATCTGATCCAATGTATCATTCAGGGCCCTTGTTTCTTTATTGACCATGTATCTAGATGATCTATCCATTGTTGTAAGTGAGGTATTAAAGTCCCCTGCAATTACCACATTCTTGTCAATAAGGTTGCTTATGCTTGTGATTGTTTTATATATTTGGGGGCTCCCGTATTCAGTGCATAGACATTTATAATTGTTAGTTCTTCTTGATGGATAGACCCTGTAATTATTATATAATGCCCTTCTTCATCTCTTGTTACAGCCTTTAGTTTAAAGTCTAGTTTGTCTGATACACAAAAGCCTTTCAGAATATGCATAAAATACGGGGGAAGGGAAGTGAAGGGGTTCCCAGTGCCAAGTGTGCTAATGAAGCTCCACTCTCAAGTGCTTACAACAGCAGAGGAGCCAAAGGGTTAGGGGAGATCATAAAAGGCACCGGCGGCAGATATCTTGCTGGGCGCTTGCCAATATCTATTTTTCCCTTCTTTTTAAAAAGAGAATGGCAAGGCACCTGGCTGGCTCAGTCAGGTAAGCAACTGACTCTTGGCGTAGGCTCAGGTCATGATCTCACTTCATAAATTGGAGCCCCCACATAGGCTCCATGCTGACAATGCAGAGCCTGCTTGGGATTCTCTCTTTCTCGCTCTCTTTCTCTCTCTCCACCCCTCCCCTACTCACACTGTCTCTCTCTCTCAAAATAAATAAATAAGCATTTTTTTTAAAAGAGAATGGCATTTCTGTTTGCTCATTTGGGGAGTGGGGAATGAGTTGGCAATGGAAAACGACATTCCCTATCTTCCCTAGTAGATATGGGTAGCCAAGTGACTAAATTCTGGCCAACTATAGGTAAACAGAAGTTACTGCATAGGGCTTTT